CTCAGGCGCGCCTCGCCTCGCCTCGCCTCGTGTCTACTCGCGTGTCCTCTCCAGTCGGCCCCGCTGTGCTCGGGCTGTGGGGAGCTAGCCCTGCCTTGTCGGGTCGGGCCGCGGCTGCGTGCCTGAGGGCACGCGGCCTCCAGAAACTCCGAGCCCGAAGAGATCAGGGCAGCCAGGGAGGCCGCCACGATCCCCCCCTCATGGAGCCGAGGATGAGGGGCTCCACGCCAGATGACCACATGCGTTCGGGTCGGGTCGTGGGCGCGTGGCGCCACGTGGCCTCCCGCGGCATCCCGTGGCACGGTCGCCGGGGCTGGCCGTGGACGTGAGCGTGTGGCCTCCAAGCGGTCTCGTCCCTGTCTCCGGGGGCCGCCCCTGGCCTGGCGGTCGGGTCGGGCCGCGGTGCTGGGCCTCCCTTGTCGTCTCGCGGATGCCTGGCCGCTCATGGCTGCTCGGCCTCCTGTGAGCTCGCAGCCTCTGTCTGCTTGGCCATGCGGCCAGGAGCGTCTGCGTAGCGTGTCGCGCCGACGCCCCATTGCCCAATTTGTCGAAGCCCTGAGCTGTGCCGAGCCTCCCGTCCCACGAAGCAGAGCGGTGCGCCGTCAGCTTGCAAGGCGCAGGTGTCGCGGGGGCCGCCGCCGTGACATTCTGAGCACAAGTTATTGACCGTGTATGGCTTGGTCTCCTATGGGTCCGGATGGCTTTATGCACGCCTCTCTGATAATTGTCTGCATGGGGTCCACTCGCTGGCGCCACGTCTGGGTGACTAGCACCAACACCCAGGTGAACAGCACCGCGGACGTCTTGTGGACCAAACCAAGTGCACGCAATACAGCGATAGGGTTACTTTGTTTTTTACAGGCAGGATCGTTGACTGTCACGGCCACTGTCACGCTTCAACAGGGCGGATCCAGAGGTGTGCGTTTTCCTCGTCGTGTTAGTGTACTTGTCGCGAGTGCTTCACATCATATGTTATTCATGACCGCAGCCGGTTCCATCAGTGACTTCGGTCAGTTTGTCATGCAACGATGTCGGCTTGATGCTGCTGCGAAATGCCACGTTGCGCCCACATTGTCGGCATGCGATGTTGGACCTATAACAGTCAACCCGCGTGGTAAGGAGGGGAAACCTTCCCATGGGTAAATGTGCATCCTTGCACCATCGGTCTGTCCTTGCCCACTTGTGGTGTCCGCGACCCGCTCGGCAAGCTTCGAAGCGGCCTTCCAAGGCCCTTGCATTCTGACCGCGCATCCTGATTACACGGGCTGACTGTGCTGTGGCTCAGCATAGAGAGCTGAATCATTCGAGGCTCTGGCAGCATCTCCGACATTAGATACCGATCCGGTTCTCGCAAACATCACGCAATCCAGATCTTCACAGACTCCACCCCGAACCTCCCTCGTCCTTCCCTTTGTTTGCGCGGGGCACACATGAGCGACGAAGCTGCTGCGTCTCTGTGGTGACAAGATCGGTGAATGCATGAAGGCACCGACTTAAGCGCAGAGGTCAACATACTGGGCAGAAGGCTCGTGCGGAGCATGAAGTGCACAAGGAGTGCAGGGAACATGGAGAGGCTACAAAGACAGAGAAACAAAGCCGTCCTTCCTCCTCTTCCTCCTCCTCCTCCTCCTCCGGCCATCTTATCCTTTCTCTGACCGCTCAGAGAGAGCAGCTCCCGAACGAGGGCCCAAGAAGTACAGTCATTCAGCATCAATCGGCACGTGGACGCCATCCGTGCATGGAGGGGCAGGTGCATTGGTAGAAGGGGGGAGGAATTCGGAGTGGAAGAAGAAAAAGACGAAAGGAGGGGGATGGTGGATGGACTGAGCAGGAGGAAGGACAGAAGGAGGAGGAGGTGGAGGAGGAGGAAAGGAGGAGGAGGAGGAGGCGGAGGCGTGGGCGGAGGCGGAGGTGGAGGAGGAGGAGGAGGAGGAGGAGACGGAGGAGGAGGAGGAGGAGGAGGAGGAGGAGGAGGAGGAGGGGCAGGGGGAGGAGGGGAAAGGGGACGAGGAGGAAAAGGGCGAACGGGGCCGGCAGCGGGGCCGGCAGAAGGGCGTGCAGCCAGGGTCCTGCCCGCCCAATCCCTCCCCTGTCGCCTCCTCCAGTCTCAGCTCCCAGTGGCACCCCTCCTACTATTTAGCGCTGGGCGGCCATAGGCATCAGGGCTGTTGTGTTCCTCCCTCTCCTTCTCCCTCCCGCCATGCCTCTTCCCTCTTGCCCCCCCCCCCTCGCCCCTCCCTCCCTGCGCCTCTCCTTCCCTTGCGTCCCCCCCCTCTCCCCCCTCCCCCCCCTGTGTTCTCTCTGTAACTGCACAGTACGACTACTAATACTACTACTACTACTTCCTACTACTACACTACTACTACTACTACTACTACTACTACTACTACTACTACTACTACTACTACTACTACGACTACGACTACGACTACGACGAGACGACTAACGACTACGACTGACCTACTACTACTACTACTAACTACTACTACTACTTACTACT